TTCTTTAATTGATTTCAGAGAGGAAGGGAGATGGAGAGAGAGATATAGAAACATCAATGATGAGAGAGAATTAGAGCTGCCGTCTGCACACCCCTACTGGGGATCGAGCCTCAACCCAGGCATGTGCCTGACAGGGAATCAAATCTTGACCTCCTGGCCGGGCTATTAATGTTTAACTTTTGAATTTTTGTCAATCTGATAGGTAATAAGCAGTATTTGGTGTATTTTTAATTTACAAAAAATTTATTTTCTCTCAAAAACAGTAAGGGTATAATTTTGAAATCAAGTACAGCCTTTTGAATTAAAAAGTTTTATGCAAACCTTACTCACTGTCTTATTCCAGGCTTCTCTAACACATTACTACAAATTGAGTGGCTTAAGTAACAAATATTTATTTCTCACATTCTGGAGGCTGGGAGGCTGGGATGAAGATGCCAGAATGATTGGGTTCTTGGTAAGTACATTCTTCCTGGTTCACAGATGGCCATTAGGCCTCTTCTTATAAGGGCACTGATCTCATTCTTGAGGGCTCCACACTTTTGACCTAATTACCCCCTAAGTCTCCAAATACTATCACATTAGGTCAAGATTTCAACATATGAATTTTGAGGGAACATAAACATCCAGTCAATTGCACTCATTAAATATTACTTATTTTTCTCACTATACTAGGTTGGCAAAGACATGTTCATAGGCTAGTATTAGTCTCCAGAATATAGTAACCATTGCTCTAGCCAGTGTTTCTTGCCAGCACATATAAAATAATAATATTTGTAATTATTATTAGCAATAGCATTCAGGAGTAGAAGAGTGAGGCTAGTCATTACCAAAGACAATAGGCTCAGGAGTTTCACCACCCCAAGACTCTGTCCAGCTACCCCAAGGATGAGACCTACAATATTGCTATAGATTTGGAATCGATACCTGTTATAAAGCTCTGTATTGGAAAACTAACCCGATAATGATACATGGATTCTTGTTAGTTTCCATCTTGTTAGCTGCCTTTCCTTAACCATTGAATAAGAACTAGATCTTAACTCTGAGGCCTATAACCTTCTGTGCTCTGAGAACAAAGAATAAACTGTTCCAATTCCAGTGAAGCATTTCAAAAGTTCTATCCACGTCTAAATGCTTTAAAATGATAAGTTATATGCTCTTTATATTATCAGACATTTTGATTTGCTCCTGACCCTGGGCAGTGTCACTTTCAAGCAGAAGCTCCTTTTTTCCTTTTCCATGGTGACCAGCATTTTTCCAGTTATAGGTGCTCCATCAGCCTGGATCCTGTAGTGAAGACAAATATGATGCAGAAGTCAATCCACCATGAACATGAGCTGAGTGAGAAACAGACCTGTGTTGCTGTTTTAAGCTACTGAGATTTGGGGATTGCTTGTTATTGTAACATAACCCAGCCTGTCCTGACTATTACATTAAAGAATCTAATGTGGCTCTACATTATGGAGACCCAAGGTTTCAATGCAGTTGAAGAGATTGGAAAAATGTACCTCCAAAATCACACAGAAGTACCAAATGATTATGTAACTAAAAGAACAATGTATATCACCTGTGGGATAAATATCAGTTTATAGACTAATTAAGTAATTAATTATTCATGGAATCATTGGTTTTCAGAGCTTGATAGGATCTTAGAGATGAGCAAGTTCAATGCTCTATCCAACACACAGCCCCTGTACCATTCCCAGATAGTAGTCTTCCAGAAGCTTCTTGAAAACCCACATAAAGGGATAGCTTATGTCAACTGTTTCTCCATTTTCCAATATCCCTAATTTTTTAAAAGTTCTTTGTATACCAAGTTTCTCTCTCTCTCTCTTATTTAAATGCATTGATTCTATGAGTAGATTTTGTTACAAAGACGTAGCATACCACTACCTTCTTCTCTTGGTGAAATATACTGTTTTTGCACTATTCCTTAATGTCATTATTTCCAGACCATTATCTTTCCCAGTTACTCACCTTTGGGCCATTCTTTAGTCTAATAACCAAGAAGATTGAATTTGGCATGCACTAGTTTCTACCCTCCCCCTGCCATACTCTCCCCACCCACCACCACTACCTTCCCAAGCTGGTTGCCACTGGAATGAAAGCCGTACCTTAGTAAAAATTAAACCTATAAAAGACATTTTTGATGTGACAGTCCTCTAAGAGATCAAAACCACCTTGAGAAGAATAGCTAATAGTTAGGTCAGGAACTATTATAACAACAACAACAAAAAGACAAATCCCTGAGTTTTGCCTTCAGGGAGAAGTACTGGAACAATGGACTTATTGTATAATTGCAACCCAGTGATTTTTGGGACCAAGACAGTCTGCAACCAGAGAAGGGAAACCAGCTGTAAGAAATTCCAAGAAACATCAACATGTGTGTATTTCTTGGAGGGAAATTTCCAGTGATTTCTGGGAACATTTAGTAACTTCTGTGCTTACACATGTTTGGTGTGTAAAGGCAAGTGGTTACCCCAAAGGTATTCATTCAAAAGTTAACACAGTGAGTCTTTTATTTTCTTGTTTAAAAAATGTGTCCTACTTTTTTTTCAATCGTAAAAAAATACATGCTGCCACAGAAAATTTAGAAAACACAGAAAAATATACATAAGTAGAAAGTAAATCAGCTCTGACAGGTACTCTATAATTAAAATATTTGTATATTCAACAGATAATGGCATACTTATTAATGGTTATGTTTGATGTAACAAAATTGTTTGGCTGTGTCATTAAAATTTGTTTAACAGGATTTAGAATTTTAAAACTTTAGCTCTTTATTTTCTGCTACAATTATAGAGTTTATTTCAATTCCTTGACTTTACAGATAAGGAAATCAAGAATAATAAACCCCGTGACTATTTCATGGCTAACCAAATTGTCAAAACAGCTTGGCTGTTTTCAGTGGCCCATTGCCAATATATGTCATTTTAAATTCAACATGTCTAAAATGTTGAGCAACCCTAGCTGGTTTGGCTCAGTGGATAGAGTGTCAGCCTGCGGACCCAAGGGTCCCAGGTTCGATTCTGGTCAAGGGTACATGCCTGGGTTGTGGGCTCAGTCCAACGTGCAGGAGGCAGCCAATCAATGATTCCCTCTCATCATTGATGTTTCTATCTCTCTCTTCCTCTCCCTTCCTCTTTGAAATCAATAAAAATATATTTTAAAAAAGAAATGTCTACTTATAAAAAAATAAATAAAATGTTGAGCAATTCTATTTTAAAAATACTTTTTAAAATTTTTAATTGATTTTCAGAGAGAGTTGAAAGGAGAGGGAGAGAGAGAGAACATCGATGTGAAAGTTCAACATCAATTGGCTGCCTCCTGCATGCCCCATACCAGCAATGGAGTCCCCAAAACCGGGCATGTTCACTGACCTGGAATGGAACCCAGTGACCTCCCGGTGCATGGGGCAACGCCCAACCACACTGGCCAGGGCAGAGCAACTTCTTTTTAAAGAGATGAAGTAATGTTACTTTTCTCGTTCACCAGACTTACAACATCAGTGCCTCTTCCTGACATATTCATGAAGCTAACAATTGCTTCTTTAGAATCTCTCTAGGATTCCCATCCCTTCCGCATGAATTTATGCCACTACCTTCGGCCCCATCAACTGGGAAGATACTAATAAGGAAGACTTTAATTAATGTCCATCCAGCTGCCTCCATGGCTCCCCTCCCCCAACATGTCCTTATGTTTTATCAGTCCTTTTTATTAAATGTGTGGGAGCTCCTCGTTGCTTACTGACTCAAACCTAAACTCTTTGGTCTAATGCTATTCATCTAATAACTGTTTAGTTATCTACCCTTGCCAGGCACTGTGCTAGGGAGGAAGTATACAATGGTGCACTTAACAGACAGGATTCCCTGCCCCTGGTGCCACCATCTAGTGGGGGAGACAGACAATAAAGGGAACAAAATTAACATGTAACTTGTGACAAGTACAATGAAGGAAATAACCAGGGTGCTGTGCCCCAAAACCACAGGGAGGGTCTACTGGTTGGTGAGTGGTGTGTAAATTGGGGGGGGGGTGGGGCGGGGCTAAAAGAGGAAGTGGGGAGACCGTTGTCTGGGCAGCAGATTACTGTGGTGGCAGTAGAGAGGGAAGTGGTCATATTAGAGATATAAGAAGTAGAAATGATAGGACTTGCTAATGAATTTGATCTGAAGGGGTAGGGAAAGGACTGAATCATGGATCATATCCAACTTCCTGTTTTAAACAATTTGGCACCAGTTCTGAGATGAGGAGTATGAGAAAAGAGTAAATCTGAGGAACTGAAAACAGTTCCGTGTTAGATCCAACCATCTAAGGAGGAGGAGGAACCAGTCCTGGGCTAACAGCACCAGAGTGCAGGCTCCCCAGACCCCTCCCCTTGAACCCAGCTCTCCCAGGGAGAACCCAAGCCTCCTGGCACCAGGGACCCAGCCAGAGCAGCTTTGACCTTGGCCTGTTGAGTTACCTTCTACAGCCTCCAGAGCAGGAAAAGTCTGGCCACAGCTTTTTCCCGGTCTTGAGCAGAGGGGCAGAGAGAAGGGGATTTCTCCCGAGGATCCCCCATCTCACAGGGCCACCCTCTCTAGACTGCCTGAGGAATAAAAAGAAGGGCAGGGCCTCCCTCCATCCCCCCAATGGTGGGATCCTTTCCAAGCAGACGCATCGCCCCCCACAATTCTCTGTTGGGTCAGGAGGAAGCAGATCTGCCTCTCTGGGATCTGGAGGATGTGCTCTCTCTGCTGTGAGCCGACAGGCAAAGCCAGCCTCTCCCTTATCCCTCCCATTCTGAGGCTGGTGCTGGCAACCTGTCCAGTCCAGCATTGTGGGCCAGGACCTGTCCCGAGGGGTGAGGCCTCTGGCTGGATGGCTCCCCGCCCCCCCTCCCGGCTGCCCTTCCTGAACAAGCTGAACCGGATCTGCCTCCCTGGTCACGTAAGGTGTGTTCTGTGACCCGTGGAACCTGCCCCCAGCTGGCTACTCTCACCTTAGCCACCCAGGTGAGGCTCTCGCCTTCTGCCATTATCACTCAGGCTGCCCAGAGCTTGCAAAATGCCTTCTCTGGCCCTGGCTCAGTGGTTGAAGCCTAGGCCCACGGACCGAAGGATTGAGGGGTGGATTCCTGGTTGAGGGCTTGTACCTCAGTTGCTCCATCCCCTGCCAGGTTGGGGTGTGTATGAGAGGCAACCAATGGATGTGTCTCTTTCACATTGATGTTTCTCTCCCTCTCTTTCTCTCCCCCTCCTCCCTTCCCTCTACTCTCTCTAAACAGTCAATGGAAAAAATATCCTCAGGTGAGGATTAAGAACAACAACAACAACGAATGCCTTTTCTGTGTGCTCAGTCTGGCTAGAGACCATGGGTGCTGCCTGCACCTGGGGCAGGCTCCACTCTCGTGCTTCCAGGAACAGCTCCCTCGGACCCAGAGCAGCCCTTCTTCCCAGGTTGGGAGAAGGGACATTGGACAAAGACAGGAACATCAGGCACCTGACACACTCCTGCCTGGTGCTCCCCAATCCCCAGGTCCCTGACCCCATTCCAAGGTAGCTGTGGGCCAGCCCCTCATCCCGAGGACAACTAAACCTCAAGTGAGAACCTGGGAGGATGCCCTTGCCTGCAGCTGTGACCAGGAGCAGGCCCTGAAGTCCCAACTGTTAGGTCACCCAAGGAGGAACGCAGGAGGCCAGAGTGCAATTGCTCGATCAAACCTAGCACCAACCTTGTTTGGTCCCCACGTAATGACTTTTGGATTTGATTGTTCAAGAAATAAAAGGAACCCTAGCTGGTTTGGCTCAGTGGATAGAGCCTCGGCCTGCAGACTGAAGGGTCCCAGGTTCGATTCCGATCAAGGGCACATGCCTGGGTTGCAGGCTCGATCCCCAGTAGGGGGCGTGCAGGAGGCAGCCAATCCATGATTCTCTCTCATCATCATTGATGTTTCTACCTCTCTCTCCCCCTCCCTTCCTCTCTGAAATCAATAAAAAGAAAAGAAATAAAAGGAAACGGAAAAGGGAACTGTATCTTCTCTCATTACTTTTATGGGCTTCCATTTAGATTATGGTCATTCAGAACTTGATAGTAATTTCTACCACATATCGTCCTTAATTCGTGGGACGCTTTTAAATTTATGCCTTCCCAGTAAGAGTGAGACTGGGCTGAGGGCAGAGGTTTTGCCTCCTCCTTCTTTGTGTCTACTTACTCTTTTCCTTTTGCCGAGACCTGGTAAGGCTGCCAGCCCCTCCCTGGGTTCCCTCCTGAAGGCCTCTGGCTGAAAGCTCCCCCTTGGGAGGAAAACAGCTCAGCCTTAGCTCTGGCCTTGCCCGATAGTCTTCCCAGCGGCCCAGGCCAGCCCTATCAGTTATTTGCACGGGGATGTGTGGGGGAGGCGGTAAGAGGGGAAGTTGGGAGGAGGGGGAGGGAGAGTTGTCTTTGGGGCCCCTGGCTTTTGCACTGTGCGCTCACTTCCAGCACCTCAGGAGAATAAAGTACTCACCCCAGGAGGAAGACTTGGGCTTTCAGACTTTGTTATGTAAGAGAAACAATTTTAAAAGGTTAGTCACTCGGGCACTGACAGTGCATAAATGAAACAGTGGATGACTAACAGAAATTACAGGATGCCTCCACCCTCTGGCTGAATGACAGTCTTCTGAATGCTTTGGGTAATTTCACAACACTTAGTGCTCGCTGGGAGCAGCTTTCTGGAAATAGGAGTCATTAGAATATCCTTCCCATCTCTTTCATTACCTGCTCAGCTCTCCTCCGTAACCAGTCTCCTCCCACTTATTTTTCTTCTCGAAGTCTTCATGCGTTCAGAAATAAATTTACTTGAGCAAGTAGGACAATGGTAGGTAAACTGAACAGGAAAAAATAAGTTCAATTATGCAGCATTTGAGGCTTGAATTCCGGTAAAACAAAACTTCCTGTCTTCCCGCCCTTCACGGAAAAGCATTTCTGTTGACACAGCGCCATCTGCTGGCACCTGGAATCTCTGCAGCCCAATATATTTGCCTTCCGTTTGGGTTGTCCTTGACCAGTGCTGCTCATTAACGCATTCATTCAGAGCACATTCATTGTGAGCTTACTTTGTGCCACACGCTGTTTTGGATGCAGGGGTACAAGAAAGCATGGCCACTTCCCTGTCTAGTGTGGTGGTTCTTACACTTGGTACAAGTTAGAATCATCTCGGGAAATGTTCAAAATGCAGATTTCTAGGCTCTGTCCTGCAAAGAATCTGAGCTGGTGATCTGGGATAAGACCCAGGAGCCTGTTTGTTAAACAAACATCACAAGCGATTCTGAAACAGGGAGTTCACGAAGCACATTTTGAGAAAAACGAATGATGGAGGAGGAGACAGTGGAATCCATTATTGCAATGTAGTCTGGTAAACGCCACAAAGTAGGGACAGGGTCTGCCAGAGGCCCAGGGAAGGGGCATCTAATCAGACTAGGGGAAAATTGGGGAAGACTGCCCAGAGGTAGAAGTCTAGATACATAGGAGTTGACAAGATGAAGAAGGGGAACAGGGGATGCAGACAGAGGGTGTAGTATATGCAAAGGCAAGAGGGTATGAAACTGCACAGGACTTGCAGGTAGTGTGGGAAGTTATAGAAAAGTGCGACCGAGTGTCAGAAAATGAAGGCCTGGAATACAAAGCCAAACTTTACCCTAAAAGCTCCGAGGGAATGTGG